AAGTCCTGTACTGCGACAACTCAAAGTGTTGTAACTTGATTGAAAGCGTGCTAACCGTTTTGCGACTGAGCATACATCGGATTCGGTTTCGAGTGAAAATGTTCACTCGACAATTCAGAGTGGAGAGAATTTGCTCCAAGAAATTTCAAAAATAAATATCGATACTCCGTCACGATATATAAGTCGATCTCGCGTCCCAAAGTGTCTTGATTAAAAAGCTACGAGAATTCAAACGCAATCGGATGACAGACAATCTATCTAGCTTGTATTAAAATTATGAGAATCGATCGGAGTAGCAGATAGGATGTAGTAGATAATGTCAGAGTATGCGCGGTCAGTCTGACCAGTCTCGGTTACTTACTACTTGCTTGCAATGCATCGAGATAACGTCATGTTGAACATACGATATGATGGATGGGTCGAGCCGTAATGAACGGAATTCGATCCATTCATTACCGTGATGAATGGCGGCACAAATTGTACCTATTATAATGATGACATGTCCGCAAAACCGAATCTATGATGTAAAAAAAACCGTCTAAGAGCGAGGATTACAAATCGAGTCTTCTAACTTTTCTGAGGCTTCTTCTTGAGGGAGACGTACGTCACATAATCGATATCCGATCGTAAGTATTATAATTGTTCTCGCGGAACTACTCTTTTCACGAATGACAATTTTCAAACTCCGATGTCGCTGCAATCTATTCTTTACGCTGCGCAATGATGCAGAAGACTTCCTACACCGAGAAAGAAATACATGAACATTTATTTGTGAGATATAAAGTTTACTTCCGTGAAATGAACTTTTATCCCGCAAATAAATTTTCAAATATCTTTTCTCAGTGTAGGCGAAGAAAACTTTGGTCACACACCTAATGATATCGTAACATATTGTTATAAAGTTCGTATCTACGTTCCAAAGGAGCTCGTGACCTCGTCACGCAGAAGGTTTTTCGCACGAAAGCAGTCACGACACGCTCGTTGAGAGAAACAAAGTCATTATTATTGTGTCATTTTCTTTTTAGTTATAATACTTGAACATGTCGCTTTTCCGAGTTTCCTCTAATAGCAAGATTTCTCAAAGCGATATCTCGGAAAGAGAGAGAGAGAGAGAGAGAGAGAGAGAGAGAGAGAGAGAGAGA